GTCCATACTAGATCAAATTAGTGATTCCGTCTTTATATGTTTATCATTATATTATTATAATATTGATATTATAACGTTTTAGCATTATATATGTTTATCTATTATATATTATTCTTTATATGTTTATCATAGATTTGTATTAGAGATGCAATGTTTTAGTTGTTTGTTGCTGGATATTTTCACCTCACCCTTTAGAACCGCTCTGACATGGTTAGTACCTGACACTTGTGTCAGTTGCTAACCATATGGGCGGTATACAAGCACATTATTTCATTTCATTTCATTATATTATTATGATATTGATATTATAACGTTTTAGCATTATTAGATATAGTTTGCCTTGTGCCCTTATAAGCTTTTTGTGTTTGTCCAAGAGGTGCTAATTATTCTAGCGTCACCGCAGTGGTATCTGTCATCATATGTCGGCCCATTATGTATGATCTTTCTCTCCGCTTATAATTAATTTAATTTACTTTCTCACTAACTAACTCCAGTCTTGCATTAACAAATTACGTGTGGTGCAGGTAGATCTGATTCTGGGGGCAAGGTGCGGTGATTTGGCTGTCTATTTTTGTAGCCCACAACGTTGCATGCTCTGCACACTTTGCATTCAAAATTTAATTTTAAGTGGAAGAATTTGTCACCACATTAGGAAGAATGTGTCACCGCTAGATTCTGCTAACACGGAGCGGCGCCACAAATATGATAATATGATAACACTACATCAGTTTTATGTATTGTTAGTAATTGTCTGTCCATGTATATTTTATTACCATACTTAAAGGTCCTTTGATCTAGCTTTGTTGTTGGAGTACTCCAGGTAGCATCTGGCAAAAACCACTTTGTGGCCATCGGCGGTGTGTAATTAGGTCAGGTGGAGGGGGACGACCACTGGAGCGGTGTTTTAAAACCTATTCGCTTTCAGTCCCCAAATTCGATTATCCCAATTTTTGTGTTAGATTTCAAATAACATTTCATGAACTTTTCATTCACTCTGCATGGTAACAGTTCAGATACCATTAAGTCCTTATGAACGTTACTGGATATTTGTTTTATGTTCCGTTCTGCTTGTTTAATGTTTAACTTTATAAACTGATTTTAGTAGGAAGATACAATTATGTTCTTTATCAAATTCTAGATAGTTAGCGTACACATTTGCCTTATAACCAGTATATTTGTTTAATAGGTTTAGTAAGTTAATGTTACATAGTAAAACGTAGAAATAGACCTACCAGGTTTATTAGAATCGGTACAAACCTTACAGCTATAGTTTCGGTACATTTTTTTGCCGAACCCAAACCGAAGCGGTCAATCATATACAGCTGAAACTTTTAAACAGCACCGAACCGAACTGAGCCATTATATGACCGAAGGTTTGGCGTTCTAACTTGTAGTTGTATGGATTTTGAGGTTGTATGGTCATCAAGTCTAAAAACAACAAAACCTGTTTGTCAGTTTGCTATTCGATTGAAGAGCTTCAGTTTTACGGGCTAACGGACGCATATCTTACAGCCGTCCTAATTTTGATTCGCATGACCATTGGCCATATATGGAATAATGGTACGAAATGCGATCGCGCGCATACAATCAGACAATTTAGTTCCGTTCCGTTCTATTTGAATTCGTTGAGAGTTTAATCGGCAGTCATGCGTTGAGCTGCGATCTGCGTCATTTTAAATTCACAACTGTGAACTAATCTTATATGTTTTCGATGATGGGTACGTTCTCCGGACAAATGTTTTGTTATTCTCAAAATATAGTTTCATGTTCTGTATATACTAGTATACTACTAATTAGTCAACATAGTAAAAATGTTGGATTTGGTTGCGATCAGTTTGCTTTTAAAATTTCGGCTTCGTAATTGCAGCTGGCAACTGTTTTCGAAATTGTTTCGCATACTGTAACTATAATAATAATAATGAAATACTAAATACATTATTATTATGATTAGTTTTACGGCAAAAATGTAATCCATCGACACATTTTCCATACATTAACACCATTTTTGGAACAACTAATACATAAACGGATATGTCGACATTATATTTCGTCACTAGTACTCAGTGTTGCTACCTAATTCCACGCATCTACAAATAGAGCCATCTGAAACTATACTGCTCGCGCTTTTTTTGTTTTGTTACTTAGTTTGAGTTTTTTAAAGGTTGTTTTTATATAGGGTCATTGTGACATTATGTGTATACTGTTTGAAAAAAATTGGTTACTTAGTAGTTTGTTCTTGATCCACTTATTCGTGGCACAGCCGTCCAAATTGACAAATTCGCTCATTATAAAAGGACTTTGATACATTTGTAATGAGGTGGGTTGTCCGTGTGCCTCTCACTTGATCGCATTAAACATAGACTTGTGTTTAGAGTCATCAGTCCTGCAGAATAGTATTATTCTGCAAGAATAAATAATAATCGAAAAGTAGTGTATATTATAAAGTGCTATAATGTAGTACTGCTTTATATCAAAATTGAAGATATCGATAGTTCTTGTCTGAACAGCTAAAAGCATAAAATATATCAATTATATCTCAATTTTCGCAATCCTCTTAAAGTATGAAGGAAAGAAGCGCTTATTGCCGCCTATAATGAACCTGTAATAACATAACAGGCATTTGGCGAAGTCATACTGGTGACCTCCCTGGGTCGAAGGTAAGGGTTGAAGTCATACTGGTGACCTCCCTGGGTCCGAAGGTAAGGGTTGTTAAAAATAGCAGCTCGGCTAGTGCTCAGATGTTTCGGGCAGCACTTGAAGTTCAAGTGCTGCCGAAACAAGCTCACAATAATTGAAAAGCAAACCTTGAAGTTGTGATTATGTAAAATAAGTACTTCCCAGGAATGCTGCAATAGCGGTCTCGTACTTGGTACAACTACAAGGAGGGCCTCACTTTGACCCTTACTTTTCATGAAACCCCAGCTCTATCAGCGTGCTCTCTCACACTGACCCTACTTAATTTTACTAGTAAGTAGTAACTGTGGGTATCGTATGCCAAAGTTTAGTTTCCTGGTTGTGTTTGATCGACATATGTTCAGGACTCCGGTGCTCTTATAAAATATGTAACACCTTAAATTCAATGATTCAATTTGATTGACAGTAAAATGATTCACTAAGTCTAATTATATACGAATTTGTTAATGCGATCAATATTCAATAATACAATGATTATGTTACTTTAAAATATGGGTAGGTCTTGTAAGCCGAGACGATTATCTGCAACTTTCAAGGAGTATGGGATATTCGTGGGAGAATTAATTTAGTTAATTCTTTCAGACTCTTTAAATATCTTTTGATTTATGCGCGTCTTCCAATTTGAAGACTTTCTGTTGATCTTAGACTTTCTTTTGGCAGACAAATAATTAGCTAGTTATCCGTCTGAAGAAATCAGCTGGCTATTTTTAATTGCGCTGCCACCGGCCACGTTAACAGTAGAATTACTTGTGGAACACTATAAACGCTAATAAACGGACACTCTTTACTTGTACGTGTAAATAAAGAGCCAATAATAGTAACAATTGTTCCTATCAACTGCTGTCTTTGCCGAGGTTATAGTCTAGATAACCAGCTCACGTTAGCTGTGTTTAGTGAAGCAGTAATGCTGTACTGTTCTTCTCCGGAACCCGCTCTGTTATCTATATGCCACTTTATCATTAATAATATGCCGGATACTTCATATCCCAGTATTGCATATCCTAACACTTGATTATTAAACCAATTGCTCTTCAATACTAACCCGTGCTCACTGCTCGTTCCAGTGTTCATCCCATCTGTCTATCAACTTCTTAGATCATTCATAACACCATGTGCTCCTTCCGGAAAGGACAGCAGTATTTTCTCTCCCCAGCGGTAGTCTTTAACACTTGAGTTTCTAGGCCAACAAACATTAAACAGGGTGACTTTACAGCGAGAGTTCTGACCTGAGATGCAAGTAGCGACTAGCGGGAATACCTACAGAGCTACAGGTCCCGACACACCCTTCACTCTGTGTAATCTTTATAAATCTGAACACTGCTGGCTTCCTGCTTTAACCTCAGGAAGTATGGGCAGTTCAGTAACTATGAGCATAATTATACGAGGAGAAGAAATACTTATCTAGTTACTGTTGCCTGTGCGGTGTTTGGCTGGTAACATGTGAGAGAGGCGGGCTAGTAACAACACCCTCCTGTCATATGTAACACTACGTTCACCTTGTGGCTGCTTACGGTGAGCCGTATAATAATATAAGCAGCACGATGTGTATATATTTGATTTGGCTAGGTGCTGACAGGTAGAGAAAGCCATAGTATTACTGCGGGGTAGATGTTTCTACTACTCTCGTTTTGGCAGTCATGTGTCTTTGCTCATCTTTTAAATTCGTCCTTTGTTAATTATTTTTGTTTGCTTCTCAGTTTTCTTTTCCCGTTTTCTATATATGTTATTAATTTGTTCAAAAAATGTTTTTCGTTAGTAAAAAGATTGGACATTTTGATTGAAAAGCAATTCGTTGGTGTATCAAACTTGTCTGAGTCAATGTATCGACTCGCGAAATAGCAAGTACTATAATTTTTGTTCTAAAATGTAGATATTTGATTTACATTCTTATATAATGTTTGTTAGAATGTCGGTTGCATGACCATAAACTCTTGTAACTGTTCACTATACTTTAATTTGTCATCGTGGTCGTAAGCTTAACCAGTGATCTGTTGGTGTGTACGTGTGCCAGAATTGAGATGCAGAATTTTTAACGATCTGTAAATATTTTAATCCGCATTGAATACTGTTGGTTACTGGTTAATGGTTATCCACGATTTCGTAAAACAATTTGAGCTACATTAAGTGTTGAGATGCTTAAACGTTAAATGGCAACATTTATGCACAAATTGTATTTGTAAGAAACACATTTTATTTTTTTAGCGAAAATATGACATTATCCAAGTGCTTTACAGTTTTAACATAATAATAATATATTGAATTCAAATTTGTTTATCTTTCCAATGTAATACCAATCAATCCATATATTTAGTAAAATGAAGCTTTAGAATCAACATGAATGTCCTCTATGACGGAACGTAAAATGAGATTTTTGAAAGACATTGTTATTTTTATTTGGCTATCCACCCTCTTTGCTCCGCTTCTCGCTGGCCCTATTGAGAAGGATGCTGCTTTCACTGAGGTAAGTAAATATCTATTTATAAATTTTTGCTGATCAATTTGCTTCAATTATTAAATTGTGCAGGCTTATAATCTTAGGATAAAGTTATATGACAATACACCCACCATAAAGCAATATAACAATACACCTACTAGGTAAAGCAATATGACAGTATACACCCACTCGAAACATGATATGTTTTAGCCCTTTGATTTCCCTGCTCAACCTAAAATTACTATTCGTAAATAGTGCGACTATTCATACTTTTTCACTTAATCAAATATTTTACCACTATAATATTAAAGGTAAAATGTTTGATGAGGCGCAAACTTTAAATATAAATTTGTTCGTCGATCCATATTTTAAGATTATACGACAAATTATCAAAATTTTGCGAGCTTTTGATTAATGCAGGAGACTCAAATACGGTTACCAAAAGTTTATAGTCGGTTTGCCCATTCTTGAACCACGAAAGAGCATACCCATTTTTAACGCAGACTCTTTCATAACGCCGCAATAAGGAAGTTTGAATATATTTTAAACTCACCTTTAAACACTGGGATAACAATTGTGTGAACAAATTTGAAGAGCAAGTTATTTTTGGACACATCATGAATGTGGACAACAAATATTTCTAACGTTTTTAATACTTTCAGTTTTACAGATTCTCTTCAGTTTTTGCGACACTTTTTCTAGAGTTTAACAGTTTCAAAGATTTAAAATATTTTTCAGAAAGCGAGGCCAAAAACTGGCGCCCCAGTAATACCAGTGGCTATACCCGAGGAAGTAAACTCTCTGGCTGTATTTGGAGACGAACTTGTATACGAGGAGGCAGACCCACAGTTCCAGAACCCCCGGAGAGATCAAGTGGTGCGTATTTTATAAACACTATTGGGAACATCTCATCTTTTTACCTTTTATGACTATTATAGAAGCCCACAAAAGTTTTGTCAAGATCCGTAATCTATACGATTTGCCAATCGTGACGATCTTCTATAGATCTTCTGTAGTCATAGATCTTCTATAGTCGTATCACCGTCTACTAGTCTTTATTATAGATACTGATACATTCGTTATGAATTACGTGATTCAAACCTACACATCAACATTGACATCTCAGTGCGAAAGTGAAGCTTCGATTGGTTGCAAAGACCGATGTATCACAATAGATGCAAACTGCCTGTGCGGCACGAACGGAAAGACTTACAGAAACGTTTGTGAGATGGCTTGTATGAGAAAGGTTGACATGGAGACCATCAATGTTCGCAACGTGGGCAAATGTGAACCTCGTAAGTGTGAATTCCCAACCCAAAATGCAACCGACCCTCATTCATAAAATTCTCGATGTTGCACAAGTAAATGTGGGAGGTGATTCTTATTAATTTATTCTCAACGAGATTCCCGAAAACCAAACCCAGTACTTTTTGCCTGACCCTTTTCTTATAGCTATGCATGTTGAACTGAACACGTGCATGAATTGTCTATACATCTGTCAGTCCAATACGTTGGAACTTGGAGCACGTTTTTGGTAAATTGGTTGTCGATATGTTGAATGATACCGGCTAGACAGCACAAAATACATTTCCTTTATTTAAGGGGAAGGAACAACTCAACCACCGACTGAAGAAATTATAGAAGAAGGTAAACTGTCGTATGCAGATAGCAGCGTGGATTGGATTTGTATAAGGCTCTAATGACACCTTGTTGATAAAATTTAGTGGATTAGAAAATACATGCATAAAATGTAAGGAGGTATCAGAGGTATTCTGTTCCTGACAGCCATGCAATGTGCATGCTGATAAATGTTAGCATTCACTGGGTTCACAGCACATTCTTCATACGTTCTTCTGAATGCGCTGAAATTATCGAAGACAAACACTCATAAAATGGATATGTTTTCTGTACAATTATAGTGAAAGTGCTGTTTAGGCGTATGACTTATGAAGTTGATGTGAGTTTTAAAGCATTGTAAATGTTGAGCAAAAAGCACGGGATAAGTGCTCAACATGCTTCACTTCAGTTTGCTCGGCTGAGAGGGTCATGAACTACAGAAAAATGCTCAAGGAATTGATGACCACCAAGTACCTGGCTGATCATGTTAGAAGGTAAAATTATCAATATCTTATTCTTTGTATTATTAATTAATGATGATTCAAATAAAGAATATATCACATTTTCAGCCAAGATTGTAAAACATAATTCAAAGAGATCTTTGTACGAACATTTAACCATCATACAGGTGTGAAAAGATCTCAAACTGTAACCAAGCCAAGGTTGTGGTTCAATTCGCCACCAAAAGCGGATCCCAGTCCATAATGGAATGTCCAGAGAACTTGCCTGCGTTCTTCCTTTTCACAGGTCTCGATTGTGCAGGTAATCATTTGATTGAAGCCCGTCCGATTGACACCGCCTTTGTTACGGTATACTATCAAATCTTGTTGATTGCTTTGATAGACTTCTGGGGATTTGATTTTTGATTCCTATCGTCTGTCTTGACTTTTCATGGGATTGTTGAAATGTTTAATTGTCCTCTCTCTTCAAAATTTACTTTGATCAGTTATAATTATCTGTTCATCTTAAATATCTTTAAATTTGCCCCCACTATTGTAAACTGGATACGATCTTTATGTGCCGTGATAAATTTATTTGTCAAAGCTGTTTGCTGACATCAAAACATCATAAACATTAATAGCAACGCGGGGGCAAATTTTTCTATTTAACGTAATGCAAAATTCTTGGACCAACTCTGTAGATCATTTGAGCTGCCAAACGTGATCTCACCCTTAAGAAAATACAAATCATTATCTCCACTCAGGACCTGCAGTTCATAAGAAATCGATTTCAACATCAGAGTTTAATTTAGCTGATTATCTGCTTCACTTTTTACTTGCCATATCAACAAGTGCGTGAGAAAGCATGCGTACAGACGTGTATATAAGCATTGATTCAGCTTTTAAATTTAATAAGCCGTTTTCATGTGTTCATGAGCATTTTTGAAAATTTTACGCTTTACGCTGTGCTAAATTGAGTTTTAAAATTAAACATATCTCATGATGTTTCTCCCGCACTTAAAACGTGAAGCTTTAAAAATAACATGATTGTGTATGTATATGTATATTCAAGTACGACTTCGTTTTCTTAATGCTTTAATGTGTCCCATGATGAGCATTTTTGAACATTTTACGCTTTACGCTGTGCTAAATTGAGTTTTAAAATGGATCATGATGCTTCTCCCGCACTTGAAGCTTTAAAAAAACATGATTGTATATGTGTATGTATATTCAAGTACGACTTCACTTTATTAATTCTTTATATTATGTAAGAATAAAATTGAAGCCTTTTTATGATGATTGTAAGAAAATGACCGTACCATGAAAACCTGAGTTCAGAATCAGAATACACTACTAAAATGAATACTAAAGTCGCAACAAGCATTAGAGAGATAAATCTTTGAGGAGTGTGTAAGTTTGGCTGTATTATAATACATGCCATAAAGAAAGGATCAAGAAAATAAAACATGTTGTTCAGATTACGTGGATACGACTCTTCAAAGTGTCTTCAATAATGAAACAGTCGTTAACTGTAAATCTGCTGGAAAGGTCAGAAACAGACTGTTCAACAAGAAAAACTGTGGATGGAGCAATCATGGTATGCAGCCATGTTCAATTACAAATAAGTATTTCTCTCATGATAATAAATGGAAATTATTTATATTTATTATTTAAGCTCAAAATAGATGTTTTCGAATGGAAATTGGTTAATTAACAAACTCAAACTTCCAACAGGACCAACTGAAAAGGAGCTGGTGACTTGGTCATTTGACATTCTGGACGAAAACTACGACAGGCAGCTCGTTGAAAAGGAACTCAATGTAAGTTTTCTTCATTTTTTTATATTTCTCATCATGTTCCTTAAAATTGTACCTTTTTATCTTCGTCTCCTTCTCAATAAAACGAAAATAATTAATATGAAGAGATCTTTCCGACGAAAAAAAAGATTAATCTACTTCCAACAATTGAGTCTATCAAGCACACGTTGTAAACGGAGTCGAACTCGAAGTGCCAATAAAATATTGAAAATAAATCAATTTGCAAAAATCAGTTGAGGAAATCTATCTATTGCGACCTTCACCCTAATGAAATTAAGATTATCGTTTATTGTCGAATGGGAATAATAAATTGGATCTAATCATTTTATGAACAGTAGAACCCCAGCTTTTTTGGAGGAAACGTTCTGCCACAAAATGACATTCATTTCCGGTCTTTCTTGAAGCATCATTATTCATTATAATACTATTGAATAACGCACGTGTCATGCTCATGCTATGTGTTATTATACCTCGTTATACTGATACCATCTTTAACTTTATGGAACGCCTTGCAAACCATATGTGTTCAACTACAACCCCTGACATTGTATACTCAAAAAATAATCACGATTAGAATTTGTTTCAAGCAATATCACAAATGTATTTTATCTGTTCGTGTTTTGTCTTAATAGCCGAGTCATCATACCTACCCTGGGTTCCTTAGCTCACCAGAGAGTATAGAAAATATTTTAATATTACATGTATCTACAAATTTCCATATAATTAGAAAAGTATCACCGCAATGAGGTAGTGTAACATCTTTTGTCGTTAGAGTGGACTTAAGATCTGCTTGTAGTCACGCCATAAATACATGTTTGATCACGATTCAAGTAAAATAATGTGCGTATATCCCGCCCATATGGATAGTAGCAGTCACAAATGCTAGCTATACTAACTATGTCGGGGCGGCTCTAAAGGGTGAGTGACAAATAATACAACTTCTGATATAATATATCGTCTAATCGAACCTTCTTTTGCCTTCTTTTGCATCTCCAAAACAAGCTAATGGTGTCTGGCTTGCTCTTCAGGTGACCGATCTGGAGAAATGAACACAGTTTCTCGTCCATTATGTACTTGTACTTGTATTAAGTTGAAAAGCACATTACTAGAACAGTGGCAGTTATAATTTAGTGATAAAAGAGAGATAATAGAGCTCCGATTATCGACACTCAACAAAACTGCGATTTACCTATAATAATTTACATATATAATTATAATGCTTTATATATGATAATAATAAATAAACATTTCAGATGCTAACCAACATTCCCGACCAACAATGCGGGGAGTCTTTCTTCATGGATTGTGACACGGACATGGACGGCTTTATAAGAGAGGATGAATGGAGCGTATGTTTGGGGTGCCCAGGTGAGATATTACATGAACGCGGTGACAATTTCACTACATCCGATCACCGTTAACTCGTTATCTTAGCAAAAATAATGTCACTAATTCATCATTCTGAAATTCAATTTATTAACAAAAATGTATTATATTTATAGAATAATAATTATTATTGTATGTGGTCACTTTGCAAATATCTTGCACCGAAAACTTAACCAGAAAAATATATCGTGTTTGTCAATGTCGGAATGTCATGAAGATGAGATTACCGTCACCCCTCCTAACTTACATCTCAACCATTCAGACTGCTACAGGCCCTGCTTGGTCTACCAATCCAAGACGATGACGGACTCCAAGACCAGAAGATACGTTCAGCCCATCGTAACCTGCGAGGCAGATGGGAGCTGTGCCAGCAAGCAGTGTGAGAAGCTGTGGGCCCTTCACGAAGTCTGCTGGTAAGTCTTCAAGCACATGACTATAAGTTTATAGCATCAGTCGTCACCTCTAGGGTGTGACGATCCCATGGGGCAATATTTCCGGCTTACACTGTTAGAAAAATGTGCAAACAGTCAACACTTCTTTTGTATTGTTACCCTATATTTAACCTATAAATGAAAGGTCAAACGAATCTCGTTCAATGCCGCTTAGACACATAGGATAATTTATTAATACGGTGACACGTACAGGTGTGTGGATCGACAGTGTAACGAGATCGAAGACACCAGATCTTACGCAGCAATGGATTGCAGCGCCAGGCGGTAGATTCCACACTACATCTACCCGCAACGATTTGTTGTCCATCAACCAGATCAAATTAACCTGATTCTTGAACCTTGACTTGGTAGAAAGCTACAAGCGATTGTTGGCTAGCCAAAAAATACTCTTAGTTCTGTAGGATCGTCGCATCACGTGCATGAGATTATGCGACCTCATTTTTGCAAAACATAAGCATGACAACCATGTTAGAGGTATTACTAAGACGCAGCTCGTCGTCATGACAACCATGTTCGAGGTATTACTAAGACACAGCTCGTCTGCAAGGCAAAGACGAGTTTTTGTGCAGAAACGTGACCTTCGAAGTCATATATTTCAAGAAAGGAAATAAGCACACCTACGACGTTTCGAAGAAGTATCACCCGAAGTTTTATCTGAGTCATATCATCGTCTTACTTGCTTCAAACTCCAAAGATAAAAACTGTATCACACTCAAGAAGATATCAACATAAAAGAAAGCTTTGAGGATTTAAAGATTTACTCCGTCAAAAGAGATCCGCCTCAAACTAAAATTGTCCAAGACTCGGAAGTATCAAAACATAACTGCTGGAAGGGAGTTAAATCGTTGATGATAATTTATCATATTAGTTGAAACCCGCAGGCACGGTCTTCGAATTAAAAATGTGGTGAATAGTGATAGTGAATATTAATTTTTGTATGTTCACGTTTTAGCTGGAGGGTTCAATTAATATGTACTTGAAAACTCTTTTAAAATTAAATTAAACGCTATTATTAGGTACAATGCACGTTCAATAGCTTTGATTGCATTCGAAATTATTTTAATATTAGAGTATTGGATTAAGTTAAGGATCTTAAGTGCACAATTTCGCTTCTTACTGTGTAAGCGCAAGCTAGTTCTAAAACAAGAGATGATGAAAACTGAAAAAAATCAAACTTAAATTTAAATAAAAGTTTTACATATATTTTTTTTTAATTAGAACATTCCTATAGCCTAACTTAAATAGGCTTTTATTTCGACTTAAATTTCACCATTATTATTCGTACTTTTAATTGTTAGTGATAAATTTGCCCATGTAGGTTCAAAGCCTAAAAATATCATTTCGAAACATCCAGAATCCTATCTTCAAAATCATTTCCTTTAAATAGATTGGGCATCAAAGCGTAGTGTTGATATTCTTTAGACAGTAGAATAAGATTTCTAGTCGCTTTCAGCTATAAATATTGTGCTGGACGACAAGATAACCGAATCATGATAGCCTGTTTGCATTTTTCTGTCTAGAAAGACCTACAGTTTGATCGGGATTTATCCAAAATCTAAATAAGTTGAATGTCCAAATTATCACAGGATTGGTGTCCCGGCGCCCCACAATAATTCATATTTCATGCACTGCTCAAGGATCCACTGTAGAATTCCAATTAGGTTATCAGGATCCACTAATGTTATTCAGTGACGTAACTTCCAATCTCGTATGCGACAGATAACTAGGTAATTGTAAAGGAACACCACATAAAAAGTCAACACATTACACACTCGTATACTGATAGCTGAGAAACACCGCGGTCATCTTAATTAACAGGTCTATTAGTCCACGCTCTGTGCCAAGTACTACATGGTGGCACCATGATAGTCCACGCTCTGTGCCAAGCACTACATGGTGGCACCATGATGGTGCTGTGGTGATCCTTATCTCCAGATACAATGCTTCTCCACACTCCGGATAAAGTGGGCAAAGTAGGTGAAATTTATGGCAACAATGAAGGAAATGCCATATCGAGTTATTGGATATCATCTGTGAATATCAATAAGTGCAGGTTTCTATTTGACAACTTGAACTATAAATTGTTAAAAATAATAAAAAATTCTGGAATTATAAAGTTTTCCCCTTTAATAAAAGGTGTTGACTTATACCTCAACCTGGACATTTTTTGAATTCTTCTTACGCCCTCGCCTTTCTACCAACCTTTAAAATTACCTTCAATTTGTAAGTTTTCAGTTTAGGAGGTACCTCTAAGTCTCGCATGGAGATGAAAGTTGAATTGAATTCGAAGCCACTCTTATATGTTTAGTTGCCAAATAACTTTGAGGACTCATAATCACAGTCTCAAGTTGGCACCAGACGGAAGGGTTCCATTTTATTCCGGCTAACTAGTGCGATTATCTGAACACTGAATTAAATACTCGTTATTATAGTATCAATTGGGTACGTGGCAGGTAGATACATTTACAAAGTGCAAAATTGAGCTGATTGCTGGCTGCTCCTCCGTAAAAACTGTACGGATATTTCGTGAACAACCCTGTATACTGTGTTCAGTGTTGCAATCTTATTAATTTCCATCCATTAGAAACGGATCCTCACAGCAATTCCTTCTCTTTAGGACGATATACGGACAAATATTGAAAGTCAGCGGGTGCGGCGGTATGTATCAGTATGAGATTAAACTTCTCCTCCAACAAAATTTGACTACATTCTTACATACATAATTTGACTTACTGTTAGTGCAAATATTTATAGGTGCTGAAAGTTCGAAACTTGATGCTTCCGTGGCTGCAGTATTACGCTTACTCAAAGGACACTATATATCAGAATTACAGGAAACCCTTACTGTAGTTATTCTGCAGTGACTAACCGGCGATGAACTTTTAAATAAAATATCTTGAACTATACCGAAAGGAAGGATTCCAGGGGAATCTTTCTAACTGCTAATCTGGCGTACTAATGATCTATTCGGATGAAACCTTGTTTACAACTCTATCTAATAATGATACGATTTAGAGGTAGACGTATATGGAGTCTGAAGAGGCTGCTTGAAGTTGAAGCAGAATATTGATGTATTTACGGGTCTAGTGGTTGTAATCACATTATATTTAACTGTGAATATAAAGGATCCTGATTTTAACTCTACATGACAACCCCAGATCACGCAGTTTAATCAGGTAATCTGAACTGAAATTAACCAGCGGGCGGGGATGATGCGATGATTAATCAATCACTCTAAACTGGACTGTCGTGACTTTTTTAACAAGTCCTCTCGGTGGATCTGAATGACTATTCGAAACCCTAACCCTCTAATCTGATCCCAACCCTAACCCTAACCCAATCCCTAACTGAAGCATATGCTGAAACCCTAACCCTAACGAGAAATTAGGCAAACTTCCTTATATGGTCATATCACGTGATCGAGCCGATATCTCTCTAGGGGAGCATTTTAACCATATGTCATTGGTTATGACATCATCTCGAGGAGTGATTCGGAATCAGCGTACAAAAATACATCGAATCAGGTAGATTTCAACTGTCAGTGTCAGGGGCCCTTTTAGAAAAATCTCGAAGATCGACTGTAGAGTGATTTAGCACACTCGGGCGGAAGGATTAAAACTTTAGAAGTGCAAGTGGTCTGTCCATGATTTGTAATTAAAAGATGATATTGATCCTGAACTTGTGGGCATATAGTTTTTAGCTCATAACTCAGTCATTTTTGTCCAATCTTGATGAAAATTCATAAACTGGTTCAGGGGACCACTAGCTATAATGTATAACAAGTAGAGCACCTAAAACCGGGGTTTTGGGCATGTTCAGGGTATTTGGCTATAATTTGGACCAAATATGGGCGTGGCTGCCCCGTGGGCACCGTTTGGCGGTTGGGGTCCGGGACCCCCTCAAAAGTTTGGTCACCGGTCCTAGTTTGTTGGTCAACTGCTATCTCGAAACCAAGTTTCACAAAAGAATCAGGGTGAACCCCCCCCCCCCCCCCCCCCCCCTTAATTAAGAACCAAATAAAACTAACGTGAATTGATAAAAATGTGGTTTTCTGAAAAGAAATACGTGTCAACAGAATGCTTGACCGTCCTTGACCGTCCTTGACCGTCCTTTTTCCAGTTCCCGCTCTCATTAGCGTTTCATCAAGAGCGCTTTTTCCATGGGATTTATTTTCGTTGACTTACATATTGCGTAGTCTGAACTCTGATAGTGATATCATTGTGGTAATTTTATTTCCCGAAGCTGCAAGATTTTGCAGTTTATAATTCCCGGGTACATGCAGATAATTATATAGACTTAAAATAGAATTAAAGTCGATGTACCAAGCGCTTAAGGGCCGTTGCAGTTATCTATAAAAGTATCAATAAATTATATATTGGAGGCAGTATTTAGTCTCGTCTAATAATAATATTATAATGCGAATAAAATGGGGGTGACAGGCTCTGTTAACTTGGTGAGAAAAATCGCCATCAGGTACAGGTCTAAATTCTTTTCTTTCTCAAGGGCTCAGGGTATCCGTATAGGTAATAAGATTTCGTTGATGTTTCTCCGTTTATATTTTTATACGTATAGTAATAGAGTTATAGTAGTTGCCACGACATATTTGCCGGCCGGCTAGTTCTCTATGAATCAGGAATCTCATGTCTACATTATCGAATTATAATCAGTGCGCAGTTAATACATATTATATTTTATTTGACCAAAACCCATAATCATGGGTAGAGTGGACCGCTGCCAGTGTCTCTCTTTCCCAAACAAAAGGAAATGATATTAATTTGATTGACCGTTCTCAAATGCAAAATTATACCGAGAATGAAATCGGTCGCTCGCTTTTCCCATTCATTCACGGCTTACGAATTGTGATAAGTTTCGATTGATTAGGTACATCAATCAGATGCTGTAAAAATCTCTTTGGGTTGCGTTCGGGTCGATACCTAGTATTTCGGGGTAAGGGTGGTAGTTATTACATATTGAATTAGCTGAAGTTTATTGAATCTTTATTGCTGAGTACAGCTGCCTTTGGGTAGTTCTTCTTAATCTATTACTATTGTAAATGAATGGGAATTAAGCGAGCGACCGATTTCATTCTCGGTATCATTTTGCATTTGAGAACGGTCAATCAAATTAATATCATTTCCTTTTGTTTGGGAAAGAGAGACACTGGCAGCGGTCCACTCTACCCATGATTATGGGTTTTGGTCAAATGTCATCTCTTTTTGATTATAATGTCAGGGTACTTTATAAAGTCGAAATATAAACTGATATCTTCATTAATAAGGAGGAAGTTTCAACAATTTCGAAATTTTTCCTCTAAAAACATTTCCTTGTGTTTAGGTAAGCATAGCGGTCGATCACTGACTGAATATGCCACTTAATACTCATTCAAGTTGGCATTAAATTCATTTATAATGACATTAAACTGTCGTGGCAAAGCAGAATTTGTTGGAAATCACAAAAGAGCAAAATTCTCACCTTTCGCACGTGCAAACTTTGAGCGGACGTTGCGTGCGCATCCAATATTGAATTACCGTAAAATTTTGCATGTAATTGTTGTATATATAGTTTGATAAGCATGCAAAGTTTCAAAGTATTTCAAGAAGAACTGTTATCACAACGGCACTCTAAAGTTGACAGAAAATGACGAAAACAGCAATTTTCAGTGATTTTAGCAATTTTTTATCAATTTGGGCGTGTCCCCACGTGTGCAACTTTTCGATTTTTAACTTTAAAACTAGCCTAATGCACAATTTATATCTATAGGAAGCAGAACTGAGCTCCACAACCCAAGGCATGGCCCAACACCAGAGAATACTAAATCGCAAAATTGACGTTTTTATAAAATAATTCTTCAAAAAAACACAAACTTCAATGACGAATATCTTTATGAAGGAGCAAGCTAGAAAAACTTTCCGGTAGATTTTCAGAATGCTTGAACAATTATCTAAGATGAAAATTTCCTCAGATTTTGAATAAAATTACTTTTTAATGGTGTAAAATCATTTTTAAAAGTTATTACTTTGTCAAAAATCAAGTTTTAAAAACGGTTAACTTGATGACGTCATCAAGGGGTGTTCATGACGTCAAATAATTTGTTTATACAATGTAAACTAAAGTGTAAAAAATTATTTTCAAGACCTGTGGTAGGAATTGGCTGTATCTTTTATACTTTTGAATCTACGGACAATTAAATACAGGCTACAATTGACTGGCAAAGCGTCTATCCCTGAATATATATGTATATCTGTATGTATGTATACATACATATGTCCCGACAA